TAAAAGGTAAATAATATATATATATATATATATATATATATATATATATATATATCAGCATATATCAGCAGTATATATATATATATATATAAAAAATGTGTTTTGACAATTTACAAATATTAAGGTATCATCACTGTTTGATTTGAATACTTGTTTTTCCGTATACGATATCAAAAATTAAACAGCGCACGTCTGTGATGTTTAATTAAATCAAAATTAATGGTGTTATAATAACAAAATTAAGATGAATTTTATTTAATATCCCTATGCTAATTTCCTAAATCAAAATAAAATTTTTCTCCGTGAACAAAAGCCTTGCAAATGAAAATAAATAATATAACATTTATTTCTTCATTAATTTTATCAGAATTTTAATTTAAGTATCAAATTACTAAAAAGCAACAAATATCAAAATTTAGAAAATATAAAAAAATGATGATCTCCTAACAAATAGATTGAGCAAATTTATAAAAATAATAACATGATTATACCATGGTTTATTCCGTATAATAACTTTATTTACGGATTGTTAATAGAATACAAATTTGTATTTTAACATGATAAAATTGCAAAATACGCGTAATCACTTGCAGCTGTGTCAATATAATAAATTATTCATTGCCGTACAAATAAATATTAAAAAATTTGATCTTTTTAAACCTTTCTTTGTAAGGTCTCAGATGTTTTATTTTTAATTTTATTACGTCGTTTTCATCATAAAGATCGTAATTTTCGTCATAAAGATTATTTACAAAATATTTTATATTCAATGCAAAACAAGATAACAGTATGTCATGTACAGTAAATGCATTAATGGATTCATGTTCCATGTAAGAATGTTTAAATAATTCTTGATTTGTATTTCTTCTCATTTTTGAGTACCTTTTTTTAAATTTTGACATTATTTTGACATTATTTTTTAACGCTTTTTTTTACATTCTACCTTATTTTTGAAAAAAATAAGTGTACAAAATACATTTAAGGGGATGGGTGGAATAAGGGCCTAATTATAAAATCTTGATTTTGAGAAAAATTAAAATAACATTATTGTTTTTTTATTACACAAATGGTAACCAGTATTAAATGTACATTTACGGAAGGGTTTTAGATTATACTTCTTTTTTTTAATTAATGTTCCCCGGAGTGCATCTTACCCCTCCCTCCCTCCCTCGAAGTACAAAGAGACGCGGATAACTTAAATAATTCATTACGGTGACAATAGCCCTTTCCCGCTTTGTGGGCACTAAAACTAATATTGCTAACTTTTATATCTATTTTATTTTATTTTATTTTATTTTATTTTATTTGTTTCATATATATTTATATTTATAATTAAATTTCTAGTTTTATCCATATAGCGCTCCTGTCCCTATATTAGCCTCAGGACATTGCGAATGAGGTATTATAGCGCCATTCTTCATCCAGATGAGAATTTGAATGCGGCAACCTAGTTGGACTTACTGCGAAATGAAATCATTGAAAATATGGATATGAAATATCAATGGGAATATATGAAATATTTTGTTCCAACAAGGTGGTGCAGGACCATACTTTGTAATAGAAGCTAGTACAACAATTTTTGGATAATACATATATAATATTATTTTGCATTAATTTTTTATTTTATGTTGTAATATGTATACACAGTCATTCATATCTCAAATGTATGAATTAAGATATTTAATAAAGCATGTATAAAAAGTGCATATGTAAATTGTATACTCTAATTCAATTATATGTATGCATAAATTTACTAAAGACATTAATAACTTATATGTACATATAAAAAATATTGAAAACTTGCATTTTCAAAATTTGAAACTACTGTGTGTTAAGAATTAAATTATATAAACTTATTCTATTTTAAAAGGCAAACAAATTACTTTATGAATAATTCTCATAGAATAATTCCTAATATTTTTACAATTAAAATTAAAAATTGAAATTGAGTCATTTTTTAAAATGAAATTTCATGAATGCAAATAAATATTCAATTCTTATTTTTCATATAATTTTATAGACTTAAATTATTTATTTTTCCATATTATTTTATTATAGTATTTAAAAATTTTAAAATATTTATAATAAAAATATTAAAAAGCTATTACAAAGAGATAACATACAATCAAATTTTAACTAAGGAAACGTTTAATTAATTACAAAATCGAAAAATGAAATTTTTAGATACAGTTTCCATACAATTATAATATCTAAAATTATGTATAACAACAATTAAATAAAATATGAATATAAATTATTATACTTAAGATAACTATATATAAGACTAAAACGCTGATTCCTTTAAAAACAGTTTGTACTATAAAGAAATATTATAACCACTATAGTATAAACTATATGATATAAACACAATTGTAATACTGAAGAATATATTTTACACTAATATTCTTTTACAATTGACCAATTGAATAATATTTACGAAATTTTAATAGTAAAAATACATATTGCTCGTGAGAATAGCGAAGAAATAAATATGAACAGTTATCTTTGCTGATTAGAGTAAGTAGATTATTTGCGAAAAGTGCAGAATACAAATCTAGCAAATACTTAATCTACTCCGCTTATTATCCGATTATTAAATCTGACCTATTTTTGCAATTATATTGGATTATGATATAATAAAAAGTCGTATTTTTCATATTTTTGGTCATATATTTTTACTGATATAATCTATGTATTTTTTGATATAACAAAAAAATATATTTTTACTTTACTATCTCCAATTTTGTTTTCTTTTCATGTAAATGAAAATTCAAATAATTGCAAAAACAAATCTTATATTACCTTTTATCATAATTTGATGAGATGATCCAATATGATTGCATTGACAGGCTGAGAAAGTTCATATCAGATTAAATATTAGAGATTAGAGAGATTATAAACTAGAGATTAAAATTTTACTAAAGGATAACTTTAATTTCAATCATTCAATTTTTTTATTCTGATTAGTTAAATTCTAATCTTTATTTTGCAATTCTCAATCTCCAATGCGTGATTTAATTCACGTTTAAGATTTTTAGATGAAAGAAATTAATTCATTTTTCAAAGAATAGGAATACCGAATGTGGAAATATCAGATTATATTACTTGTACATAATATATCTTTCTTCGAGTGCAGCATGATATACAAATGATCTTTATAAATGTTAAAATTGACAAATTAAATAGACTAATGTGATGTTGAGTTAGGTATTAAATAAAGCTGTATGTAAGTTTCCCTGATTTTAATACAGATCCAACTTTTGCTTTCTTATTGTTTTCTTTCTTATTGAGAACATTTTGTAAATATTCAACACTATTCGCTGTATAGGTATCATTAAATTATGATAAGTTATTCAATGAACAACATAGTAGCTTGTGTAGATGCTTTCCAAAATGACTGAAATCATGAAAGCCAGATTGTCCCCTAGCATAGAAGAAAATAGATCCCAACTAGGCTGGATCTTGATTAATATTAGGATGTCAAAGCGTCATAAGTCTGGAAATCTGCAAAGCAAGTGTTAATAATTAGTAAAAATATTATTCATGGTGTGAGAGTTGCAAAATATTTACATGGACAATTATGTATACATGTACAAAGTATCTGGTAATAACTGCATCACTCTTCATAAACAGTAGGTTATATTGAAGAAAAAAGTTCTGTATCAAGTTCTTTGTAATTTTCACAATAATTAAAGAGTTTAATTTACACACATATACAAATAAACGAAAAAAGACCCAGCCAGTAAAAAAAGACAGCCCAGCGTTATACTTGGCATTCACTGTAATTCTGAATTGTTAAGAGTGAGGCAAGATGTTTAGATGTGATCTATAAATGTTAAAGAATACATTTATAGTACACACCTTCAAATATATTACGCGCTTATCATGAATGAACGTAATGTTAACTGTCCTCTTGCACGAATGCTTGTTTGATTTGCAGATCTATATAAATTAATAACTCTTTAATTATTGCAAAAATCGCAAAATAATATAAAACTTTTCTATTCAATATAACTTGCTATACTTGCGTATGAGATATGATATGATTATTATCAAATATCGCGCGCGCGCGCGCGCGCGCGCGTCGTGTGTATGTGTGTGTGTGTGTGTGTAGTAAATAGTTAAATTAGTCAATACATACTACAATTATTAAAAAGTTAATATTTACGGTGTTATCCGTGTCATTATACATTGTTGAATGCCAACGTTTCGTGACCATTGCAGTTGATATCATATTTGATTAACGATTTATTTAAGATTCGACTTTCTCGGATAGTCACAGGTTTTGTGATATTAGACAAAAAATGACATGCAATAATTTCCTTGCAACATATAGTTTTATTTTTTAGTTTTTTCTTAAAACATAATTTCATGATTCTGAAATTTTTAAAATGTGTGAGAAATAAATATCTGTCCAATCTGTCACACAGATATGTAAATGTAAATATAATTTCTGAGATAGCGGATCATTTTTCAATCATGTTTAGTTGTCATAGTCGCTTGAGCATGACTGGAAAATGATCCGTTATTTCAGAAATTATTTTACTCTATTACTTCTACGTGACACATCGGATAGATATCTCACTCAGTTTCTTACAGTCACATTTCTTCACATTTTTACAAATTTCAAGATCATAAAATAATTATGCTTTCAAGGGAAAACTAAAAAAATAAAGCTATACATCGCAAGGAAATTACTGTCTCATCTTTTGTTTATGATGTCATAAACTAATATAGCTGCGATAAAAGAGTAAGAGAAAATTTAGCTTTTAGTTTCAAGTTGCAAGTCCGTACAAATAACAACATATGGTTGGCGGCATAAGCAATTATCTTGAGAATTTAGATATTTGTTAGCGAGGCTGGGAATAACAAAACAAGAATACTTGTGATAATATTTAAATACATAAGTTGACTGGTACCAATCTGACAAATTAACTTCCCCTATCGCGATCGTCCTGCACGCAGCCCAAAAAAAAGAAGAAGGGATACGCAATCAGGCTTACATGGGTATCTCCCATTCGCCGCTTATAAAAAGATAAAAATGTAATATAATGTACATAACACGAGGAACACAAAATAATAAGTGCTATTATTTCTAACAATATTTATCTATTATTTGTAAATTAAAACAGTTAAACAGTTAAAAGTTATTATATCTAAAATCCTGTTTACTGAATATTGTTTATTATATGTTTATTATATTCTATTATTGAATATATTATCGGTTTGTTACATTGAATTGTTTAATAATTTTATAGTTGTTTCATTAGCATTAATGGTTTGATATAATTTTATTAAACAAAAATTATAAATAATTATATATTCATAAAATTTTCCGCATATTATAATACAATTTCTTTTAAAATTATATTATGATATGCAAGTATCACTGTATTTTGAATCATTAAACACAATGTGGTTATAGCAATTCACTTCATCAGAACGAGAAATCGGATACAGAATGAATTCTGTAAAAATGACTGCAATCGTGTTTTTGAATTTAAACTCCTATTTTTCGAAAATGTGATATAGATTGTTTTTCTGATAAAGTAAACTGTAATGTTCACAAAATGTTGATATTAATACTTCATGATACAGTGGTAACTCTCAAACCATACGAAATCATATAATTTATTAACAAAAACCTGTTAAAATAATGAAAATTTGTAAATAACACTTTTAACACATAAGGCACTTTTTGTTTTTATCTTAAAATTTATCTTTAAGTACTTGAAGCGGTATGAAGAATCATCATCATAGTTATGTATGCACCATAATCTCTGAAATGTATCGTTATACTTCAGACAAAATATGTATGTTTAATCTGTAATTTATTTATTATATTTTTATAAGATCCGAATAAAAAAATATTGTATTTTACAGTATTTTAAATATTGTATTTTATTGATCTGTATCTTTTTAGGGGAATATCACAGATTGTCCTCTCGAATTTCGCTGAACTTGAAATATGTTATAGTGATACTTCCATTAATTCATAATAAAGTCATTCAATGCAATATATAGTATAATATATAGTAAAATTATAGTAATAATTAAATTATAAGTAATAGTTAAATTATAGTAATAATATATAGTAAAATAATAATATTTAATCTATTTTATCAAAAAGAAATTTACCTCATTGGATCTTCAAAATAGTCTGATGGCACTTGGAACAATTCTGGATCTATGTCATTTCGGAAGGCAAACTCTTGAAAAGTTATTTTAGCAGTGACTGTAGGCAGAATCGGTATGTCGATCTTAACTGGAAATCCAGGGGGTAACTTCATAAGTACAAATTGTCGTAATTTGCTCAAATGCTTAAATGGCGTGATTACTTCCAAAACATTGAGCAGCATATCAACAGTAAGAGGAAAATCTGGACTCATTGCCACGGTAGCTTTGAAAGATTTACTACTTTCCTTATAAACAAGATTTCTTCCTAAAAGTGGACATTGACCAGGTGGTGCAATAATGTATTCTTCCCATGTTATATTCGATTCTGGTGGCGGATTCAATGATGCTCTTCTCATAGGAGGCTAAATAAACGAATAAATTTAGCTCTCTAATACTGTTTTCAAAAATTTATAAAGATAAATTTTAATTTCATTTGCAAAAAAAAAATAAACAATACGTTAGAAAATTTATAAAAGTATAAATGACAAGTGTATTGAAATATATTGTTTTATTTAAAATAATAAGCCATGTTATTATATATCATCATAATATTCAATAATTAATCAGAGTAATGTTAATATAATGACTGGCGCGCCAAGTTTTTATATATCAAAGTTTGATCTTAAGTTTGATTTGCTATGTACAATTTAGAATTTGCAATGGAATCTGCAGCAGAATTGCATGACATACATATACATATGCATATATATATATATATGTATGTGCGTGCGTGCGTGCGTGCGTGGGATTATATTTTAATTCTTAATGAGAAAAACATTTTAAATGAAGGATTAATGATAAATGTCATATTCAACGAAAACTTGATTTAAATTTGCAAAAAAATACAGATTGATATATTTAAATCTGCACAATAATTTAAAAAATAAATTTATTTTAATTTATATTACAATATTCACATTTCTCGCTTTGTAATTTAAAAAGGTACATTATATTAATGTTTCAAAAAAATCGATTTTTATTACACATTTTTCAAAAAATTAATATCTCAGAAGTATACATCTAAAATTAATAAAATTCGTTTATAAAATTCAAAAAAATTATTTCTTGAGTTATATGGAGTTAAAATGGAAACATGTATCTGATCAATTACTCTAGAATGCTTTAGTCTAATATAAGCTTTACCCAACCCCATGTGTTTAGGCTACAAAAATTCTCTTGAGCATGTAATCAATCGATCGTTTGTTTCACGAACGAAAAATTTACTGGAATGAACTAATAAATTCGACTAATAATCACTGAAACTTTAAATATGCTTTTTTTAAAATCATTTTTCTTTAACTTTGGCGGCATCTATAACTAGAACCATTTTTGATCGATTGGCTTCAAATTTTAAAGATCTTTTTAGTTTCTAAAAAAGATTCTATTCTATTATATATTTAAAAGATTCTAAAAAAGAAAAAATTTAAGGATGTCAAAATCTAGTGAAATTTTGAATTTTTTTTCATACCCCTATTTTGTGAAAAAATTATTTCAAAAAAAATTTCTACATTAATCGAAACTACACTATAGTTTCGAAATTTTCAGGAATTTTTTCATTTCCGATAATTACGACTTGAACTTTCTACGCCGCTGATAGACTATGTTTTTTGAACACAGGGATCTACTATGCTGTGTAACATTATCACACATATATTTATATTTTCACAAAAATTTTCAGTATCTTCAAAGTCTACTCAGTCGATGTATCAATTAATACCTTTTTAAGACTTATAATTATTTTTAAAAATATCAAAAAGAATTTTTTTGGAGCCTTTACTTATCTCATTAATATGGTTACAAGAAGCATAAGTTCTAAAGCAATAATATATTTTACATTACAATTTAAATCTTACCTCGCCATTTTTAAATCCTTGAGAACTGCCTTTAGTAAGAGATTCCATAATAGCTTTATTTTTTTGAAGATCTTCCTCACTCAAATGCTCACGACGTTTTCTACTTTCTAATACCATACCATTGATTTGATAAAAATCAGCATGAAAGGCGCCTACCATTTCCTAATTTTAAATATTTATTTCAATATTTCATTTATCCAAAATTTTAAAATCAAATCAATATTAAGCTAAATTTATTATATATTATTAAAATATCTCAAATCTGATTTCTAAATTATTACAGAATTCTTGAAGATTTAAACAAAATATAATTAATAATTAATGCATAGTTATTATGAGGTATGTATATATATATATATATATATATATATATATATTGAAATACATACTTTATTATCAGTATTACAATACAATATAAATGTTCTCACCCTTTTGTCCTCTCTAAAAATCCATCCTGTCTGTGCTCTAGAAAATGTGATACCTTTGGTAGACATTTGTGCTGCCATAATATCACTAGACATAAGAATATCAACTTCATCTTCTATCTCAAGTTCTGTTTCCTAAAATATATCCCAAAAAGATTATATTAATATATTATATAATATAATATAACATAATAAAACAATATTAAAATATTACTATTATTTAAAATTTATTATTTAAAATTTTGATGCATGCATGCATTTATGCACAGACAAAAAAATAATGAATTTATAATAAGCAATTACACAAATTTTTTTAAAGATAATTGTTTTTGTAACATCAATTGATTAGTCTCATTATTCTGTGCATAAAACTATTAAAATTATGCACATATTGTATGTATATGCATGTATGTTTACACATATATAAAATTAAATAAAACAAGCTGATCGTTTAATTTCCATTCTATTATCTTATAAGATTTAGATAAGTTAAAGATTTAGATAAATTAAATAACTAAAGTTAATCTTATTTATTAAATGTTTGTATATGTTAAAAACATTAAAGTTTTGAAGTTCTTATTAGATATATAAAATAAAATTTATATTTATATAGCAAAATAAATTTTTTTGTAGGTATTTTATATAAAAACATTAACATAAAAGAACAGTTGGATTTAAATAAGTTATTCACCTCATATCTCACTCTTTGGTAAAGTTTAGCTTTATTGTCGAGGACAGTCAATGAATGGCTAGGCTTTTGGTCACCATTGAAGATAAATGATATGTCACCCCTCTCCCATCTCATGTCATTAAAATCTACAAGAGTTGTATCCATTCTAATTGAAGCTCCGCTTTTATGGATCTTACATATATCTGATGGCAATACTCTTGAAACTAGCGGTACTGAAAAGACAAATAAATTTATTATTATATGAGCAGAGAAAATATAAAAAAGTATGTAAATAATTCATTATTAATTAGAAAAATTTGCGAATAAAAGAAATATGAAAAGCTGGAAAAATAACAAAACAATATTTTAATTAAAATATGCTAAAAAGAAATAATAAAATAGAGAAATTTGTTAAAATGTAAAGAAAGAATTTAAAAAAAATAGATAAAAAATAGAATAAGCATCAAGAATAATATAACATATATCAACATTAAGAGAAAGAAGAAAAGAAAGTAAAAGAAAAAGAAAGAGAATAAGAATATTAAAATATAACATGTGGTGCCAGGATATTTACAGCAAGAATGAAGGATTAAACTTAGAATATAAAGTAAAATATGAAGTAAAAACTGTTTCATTCATTAATATTTATAAAATGTTTATTTAACATTAATATTAAATTATATATCAATTTAATAATATGAGTTAGATTTCTAATTTAATATAAAACTATATTTCAAGCTGGACTGATAATAATTTAAAACATAAAATAAATAAAAACTTAAAATTCAAAAATTATTGCATTGTTAAATATTAATTCCTTATAATTAAAATATAATTAAAATATTAATATTTATTTATTCTATGTTATATTTATATTGATGGCTTAGCAGACATCGAATTAATATGAATTCACTGTATTGTTCATAAAACTCACAGTTTTTATTCGAAAAATAAGATAATAAACAATTCAGAAGAATCTCATCAAAGTGGAAAAAGATATTTTATAACAGAGTACTACGAAATTGATTGTCGTTTCTTATTCATAGAAACAAATATTTCGATTATCATTATTCATTTTTCCGATTATCATTATCCATTTTTACATATAATGTGATAAACAATCTATGATAACAATAATTACATAATTAAAAACAGAAAGATATGAAAGACTTACCCCAACTCTGAAAATCCCATTTTAATTCCATATAAAAATCACCCATTTGATGCAATGCAGCAACTAAATTCGGCCTCCTTTCTTCCATTTGCTCTCTTGCTTGTTGCTTTAATTTACGTACTAAAGATGATACTACAAAATGTTTAATACCTAATTAATCATAAATTTTATATACCATAATTATACAATCATGTAGAATATCAATATGTAGAATGTATGTGTATTATTTTTATTGAATTATCTGCACATTCAAGTTTATATATGATTTATAAAAACTAAAGTTAGTTTTTATATTTCATTATTATATGTTTGTTTCCAATATATTTGCTTTTAATAGCTAATTTTATTTTATAAATTAAAATATTAACAGAAGTAAAATGCTATGTAATTTATATAATTTATTAATAATATGTATATAAAAAAATTAAAATTTTAAATCTTTCTGTTTATATTTTATATACTATTTATTAAAATAAACATTATTTTATACAAACTGGTTTGTCTATCGCCATAACTGATTGCTTCGGCCAGTGGACTCCAACCAGCTAAATTCTTCACTTTAACAGGTGCTCCATGTGCAAGCAATAATTGAACACATTCTATAAAATAAAACAAACAAATTTAATCAAACATAAAAATCAAATGTAAAAATAGTTTTAATATTTCATAGTATCATATATAATTTAAATTGATCATCTAAGTAACAAATTTTAACATATAAACTTTATTGAATAATTACCAAATAATAATATACATTGTCTCTAAGATTTGGTCTCTATATAATATTCTAACACTAAAACTTATAGTGAATTCGGTTAAATGTATTAATATAATATAAATTAAAGTCTGTTGTATATTAATTTATCTATATATAAAAAATATAATATAAATATGTTTAAATGTTAAATATAATTTTTATCAAATATTAAGCATTTAACTTCCATCCATGTGCACATATTTTTATATTAATTTATATACAACAGTCTTTAAGCTATATCAGTATACACTAGTGTATCCAATCAAATTTGCTATTAGATATCCATACCTTTTCTTCCTAACATCACAGCTAAATGCAAAGGTGTATTTCCTATAACAAAAAACATAAAAAGTTAAAACATTATTATGTCTTATCTTCAACGAATTTAATAATTCTAATCATCTTAAATATATGCAAATGTATATAAGGAATAAAACAAATAAAAATATAATATATAAAATATAAGAATATTTCAATGTTAACAGTAAACCTTGTTTATCCTTTTCAGTAATATCATGTGTCCTAATCAAGGTATTCAGCTTCTTCACATCACCTTGAAATATACATTTATGAAGTAGATATTTCTCATTTTCCTTTTGTGCCATGATCATCGGCATCTAAGATCTGTCATACATTATAATAGTAGAGGAACTGAACACAAAATCCAATCTTCTATAGTACAACACATTTCATACGTAACATCAATGCAAATCATGTATTGACGTATAAACATTGCAGTACATCACATGTTTCGCTTTCTGGCAAGTTTGTGACTTAACATGTTGACATTTCTACATAATTATGTTTCTTATTTTTGTTCTATCTTCATCAACATTTTCTTGTGTTAAATACTGATATTTTTATAAATTTAAACTTCGATATTTCTGTGAAATTCATATTCATTACGATCATGTTTGAACTATGTTTGCATATATATATATATATATATATATATATATACTTTAAGGCCTAACTAGTCTATGTATACTTTAAGGCCTAAATCGCTTCCTAAGCAAAATGTTAATGTTACTTGGCAATGTTTCACTGAATTGCTGCAATTAACAGCTGATGACAGATAATTTTAATCTTGTATACCTTTTTATTCAAGTACAACACACTATTTTTAAAAGATGCATTTGATAAATAATTTTTGCAACTATTTGATGAACGCTATTAACTGAAAAACGATGAAGTTAAGAAATGTATCTAGAATCAGCTCATGTGACATTCACTCACTAAATATATCGAAATATATTTAATGATTATATAGCGTATTCAATGGACATATGGAACACAGTAGCATAATTATTACGTTTTCAGAACGCACAAAAAAATTGTATCATGTTTACAGCTACACGTCCATAAAACAATCACACCGGCATTTTTCAGAAGTAAACGGAATGAATACTGAGAGTAACTAGAGCTGTCAAAATGAGAAACATAGAATCCATCATCTAATGCGATCGGCACGATACAAACAGTATGGGCACTCCACGTCGGTACAGTAGAACCATATTGTTACCATAGACATAACCTCCTATTCTTCGACTATGATTCGTCCATTCTTACGACTTAAGGCTTAAATCATCTATTAGTCCCGGTCTACAATAGGTTTAAGCCTTTTGCGATTTAAGCCTTAAGCCATAAGAAATGGACGAATCATAGTCGAAAAATAAGAGAATAATCGATTATGATTGGTCAATTTCTTATGGCTTAAGTCTTAAATCACCTATTGTAGATCGGGACTAGAGGCTCTTACTTTCTACTTATGTTTTTCTATGTGCTACAGCCTTAATATATGTGTTGTTTATTTGCTACTATTTCATTGCGCATGCGTGCAAGACCCATCTAGCAACACTATCTCCGTTCATTTGCGTGATTTGCTGGTCATGGACCAATGGTCGATCCGCTGCGCGTCAGTTCTTCTTGAATTACTCAGTTAGGTGTGCTTGCCAGTATGCCAGTTCGATTCAGTTCCGTTATTGTGTTCAAGTCTTGTGGATATTCGTTCGGCTATTAGTTTTCTTCTTCTGCAAGTGTACACGAAAAGTGGGTCAGTGCTTTTTTGCGCTAATCTATGGATTTAGATATGTCCGTGAATACGAATTATATCTCGTCATAATTTAATATGGTGAGTATTGATGCGCAGTGTGTCAATGTTTCTGAAAGTATATCCAGCGCCTTGACGCACCCCAAAATTTTTAATTGTGCGAAACATTGGGCATTTTGTGCGTACCGTAATAAATTTTTAATTATTTAATCGTAACGCAAAAGTTCATATAATCAAGATTCTTAGTTACAATATTTGAAACAAATAAAAACAAATGGTCTTATATTATTTCTATAAAAACATAAGAATAATATTTATATCGATATATTTTCTTATTTTTTATAAATAAAGAAAAAAAGAAATTTTTAGAAAAAAAAAGAAAAATATATATTTCTATTTAAAAAATTATTTTGACTTTTATACAATCAGAAAATTTGTTTATGGATCTAAATATAATGTAAAAATTTCATTTTATAATTTTGAAAATAGCTAAACATACAAAGTAAATGACTAAATGTACTCAATAATTAAAAATCAATAACATATTTGCAATTATTAAGATATTTATTAGTAATTAAAACAGAAAAACTTAAATATTTTGTATTGAAATGAATTATAAAAACATATTTTGAATAGAGATTATTGCGAAAAAAATTATTGATTTTGTATATTGCAGGGATAATCATATTTTCATTTTTTCTTACTATCTTGATTAAAGTATAATATCGACATTTTTGAACTTTTTTTAATTTTGTATTGTATTTAATTGTATCTAAATATATAGTGTATTCTTTAAACAAAAATTTTAATAGCAAATTTGACTATTTGCACTATACTATAGTATAGTGATGGGTTAAATAGTTGTTTTTTGATAACAGTTATATCGATTATTGTTAAATAATAATTTTTATTTGATAACTGATTACTTCAAATCTTGAAAAATTAATAGATATCTGATTTTAATTGCAATTGAAGCAATATTTCTACATTATATATATATATATATATATATATATATATAATAAATATTATAT